ATGATATTCAAGGGCATGCACCTTGGTTGCAGGCACATCCCCAGTAGGAGGTGTGCAGAGAGCAGCTGACAGATGTTTCCTTCTCATCGATATTTCTAACTTTCTATCCCTCTCCCTTCCTCTCTGTAAAAAAATCAATAAAATATATAAGAACAACCAAAAAAAGATGGCCAAATTGCTGAGCCAGCAAGATTCGATGGTTGAGTATCAAAATTTGAGCCAGAAGGTCAGTTCCATTCCCCATCAGGGCACAAGCCCTGGGTTTGGAATCAGTCCCCAGTGTGAGGAATGCAGGAGGCAGCCAATCAATGATTCTCTCTCATCAAGGATGTTTGCCTAGCTCTCTTCACCTCCCTGCCTCTCTGAATCCAAAAAAATATATTTTGAATAAAATAATAATGAAAGTACTAGCTGGTTTGGCTCAGTAAATAGACTTTTGGCAAGCAGACTGAAGGGACCTGGGTTTAATTCTAGGGAAGGGCACATGCTCACGTTGCGGGCTCCATCCTCAATAGGGGGCATATAGGAGGCATCCAATCAATGATTCCCTCTCATCAATGATGTTTCCATCTCTCTCCCTTCCTCTCTGAATTCAATAAAAATATATTTAAAAGTGATAATAATCCTATATAATAAAAGCCTAATATGCTAAGTATCCAGTCCTCTGGTCATCCATTCAGCCAAACAAAGCATAATATGCTAATGATAGGCTAAGGCAGCTCAACCGCTCACTATGACATGCACTGATCATCAAGGGGCAGACGCTCTGACCAGTAGGTTAGCTTGCTGCTGGTGTCCATAGATCGGGACTGAAGAAGATGGGCCGGATACACCCTGGAGTCCTCCCATGGTCCCTCTCCAGCTGGCCAGCCTCCTGGATCCCTCCCTAGTCCCGATCATGCACCTGTGGGGTCCCTTGGCCTGAGCTGCGCCCTCTCGTAATACGGGACCCCTCAGGGGATGTCGAGAGCCAGTTTCAGCCCCATCTTGCAAGCTAGGCTGAGGGACCCTCCTGGTGCACAAATTTGTGCACCAGGACGCTAGTAATAATAATAATAAAAATAACGATTGCCCAATTGCGAATATTTAAATTTTAGAGGTATATTGTAAATCTCTACATTTTAGAAATTATTGCATGAAAATTTAATCCATCCTACATTTAAAGAATTCAAATGATTATATACACTACAGAATATGTGAACTCCTACTTTATCCAGATTTCCTTTCCAAGAATGCATAACATTAAAAGTTGTTTTCAACCTTCACCTGCAGAAACACACTCATCTGCCAGTGTAACTGACTTTAAAGAGGAAGGTTTCCCAAATGCATAATACACTTCACCTCTTTAGGTAACAAGAATTTTATTATGAGAACTGTTCCAGATTAGTTCTGTTTATACTAATAACCTCTTTCCTCACCACACTCTTCCTCCAATACCAAGACTTTCATTAAGTGTACATTATGAAAGTGACACCTTTTATATCTTACCAGCATAATTTCAGAGAATAAATCTTGTATTCTGGTCTTGGGCATAAAGGCCAGGTCATCAGATGACATAGCTGAAAGAAAACAAATTTTCAGCTTTTTTCTGCCGATGAACGCCGTGGAGTAAGCATCGTTGGAATTTCCCCTGTTGCAGTCTTCATGTCTAAGTCTGAGTCTCCCAAAGAGCCGGAGCAGCTGCGGAAGCTCTGTATCACAGGTTTCAGCTTTGAAATAACCGCTGAGAGTCTGAGGAGCCATTTTGAGCAATGGGGAATGCTCACGGACCGTGTGGTGATGAGAGATCCAAACACCAAGTGCTCCAGAGGCTTTGGGTTTGTCACCTATGCCACCTTGGAGGAGGTGGATGCAGCCATGAAGGCAAGGCCACACAAGGTGGACAGAAGAGTGGTGGAACCAAACAGGGCTGACTCAAGACAAGATTCTCAAAGACCTGGTGCCCACTTAACTGTGAAAAAGGTTTTTGTTAGTGGTATTAAAGAAGACACTGAAGAACATCACCTAAGAGATTACTCTGAACAGTATAGGAAGATAGAAGTGATTGAAATCATGACTGAACGAGGCAGTGGCAAAAAGAGAGGCTTTGCTTTTGCAACATTTGACGACCATGACTCTTTAGACATATTGTAAATGGCCACAACTGTGCAGGAAAGCTCTATCTAAGCAAGATAATGCTTCGTCCAGCCAAAGAGGTTGAAGTGGTTCTGGAAACTTTGGAGGTGGTCGTGGAGGTGGTTTTGGTGGAAACAACAACTTTGGTCGTGGAGGAAACTTCAGTGGTCGAGGAGGCTTTGGTGGCAGCCGTGGTGGTGGTGGGATGGTGGCAGTGGGGATGGCTATAATGGATTTGGTAATGATGGTGGTTATGGAGGAGGCGGCCTTGGTTACTCTGGAGGAAGCAGATGCGACCGAAGTGGTGGACCGGGTTATGGAAACCAGAGCAGTGGCTATGGCGGGAGTGGCAGCTATGACAGCTATAACAACAGAGGAGGCAGAGGTGGCTTTGGCGGTGGCAGTGGAAGCAATTTTGGAAGTGGTGGAAGCTACAATGATTTTGGCAATTACAACCATCAATCTTCAAATTTTGGGCCTATGAAAGGAAGAAACTTCGGAGGCAGAAGCTCTGGCCCTTATGGTGGTGGAGATCAATACTTTGTCAAACCACGAAACCAAGGTGGCTATGGCGGTTCCAGCAGCAGCAGTAGCTATGGCAGTGGCAGAAGGTTTTAATTGCTGCCAGGAAACAAAGCTTAGCAGGAGAGGAGAGCCAGAGAAGTGACAGGGAAGCTACAGGTTACAACAGATTTGTGAACTCAGGAAAGCACAGTGGTGGCAGGGCCTAGCTGCTATAAAGAAGACATGTGTTAGACAATACTCATGTGAATGGGCAAAAAAACTATAGGACTGTATTTGTGACTAATTGTATAACAGGTTATTTTAGTTTCTGTTCTGTGGAAAGTGTAAAGCATTCCAACCAAGGGCTTTAACGTAGATATTTTTTTTTTGCACCCATGCTGTTGATTGCTAAATGTAATAGTCTGATTACGGCGCTGAATAAATGTGTCTTTAAAAACACACACACACAAAACAAAACAAAAAACCCCAAATTTTCAGTTTTCACAATCAGGTGAGTACACTTTGAAGTTACCAGCAACTATAAGCCAAATGACATCTTTGAGTACTCCAAGAGCCAGTGAAGGATTCAAAGAAAGCTCTAGATAGGTACAGTGAGGAAAACTCACAACAAAGAGGGACAAAGAGTTGCTTACATTTGCCAATTTTATCTGCTCAAACCCCCTGGCACACAATGGCAGTATTATAAAAACACTCCCAATTCCCAGTATCTTCACTGAAGAGACAGAGATGAGGCAAGTGCATGTTCAATGACCTCCCTGTTTTAAAAGCATCCTGAATAACAAGCGTCTGCTTTGCATGACACAGAGTGCAAAAAGAATGGCGGTACACGGTGAGTGCCCTGTAGTGGCTGCTAGAAAGACACAATGAGAAATTGTTCGAGCACCACAAAGAATGTGATACTGAAGATATATATCAACCCTGAAAGATACAGCGGGTCTGAGAAAGAAACAGAGAACATTTCCAACTGGGAAATTAGACAGCCGAACCAAGAATAGAGATCCTGAAAATAGTGTTGACCGAAAGTAGAATTTGTTCCACAGATGGTTATTAGTTTCCTCCTATAGAAAGCATGTTCAACGAATTGAGGTTATCTCAATTCGTTGAGGTTCTGCTTCCCGGTATATGTTGATAGTTTGGCTCAAATGAACTCACAAAAATTCTTTAAAAAAAAAGAAAAAGCATGTTCAAAAGCCTGCTACTTTACAATTCAGCAATCTCAGCAAAAGATATCAAGTCATGGAAAAAAAAAACAACAACAGAAAAAGTGTATCATCAGGAAAACAAAATAAATGTAATCAAACTGGCACCACATTAATGGAAATATACTAATTACCTCCAAAAAGAATGGAAAATCTTAAAGCCAAAAAGGAGAAAAAAGAAAACTATACAAAATCACCAAAATATTATGTAACCAAAATAAAAATATGAGAAAGTACTTTATAAATACCGCTCCAAAGGGAGATATTGAAATACATAATATATGAATTAAAAAAATACATACAATCATGAATGAAAGATGTGATCAACTCAAAACATCAAAGAATTTGCCTGGCAGTGGTGGCTAAGTGGTTGTTTCTCCCTATGAACTTGGAAATCACAGTTTGGTTCCACATTAGGGCACAGGCCTGGATTGAAAGCTCAATCCCCGATCATACAGGAAGCAGCTGATCGATAATTCTCTCTATTCACTGATGTTTCTATCTCTCTCTCCCTCTCCTTTCCTCTCTGAAACCAATAAAGATACATTTAAAAAATAGTAATTAATCAAAAGAATTTGTACAGAAATCATTAAAATTATAATTCATTGACATTCTGATTCAGAGAAGCCAACAAACACGTGGAAATGTGAACAGAAGTTAAGGAACTCCTAAGATACTAACAAATCGGCTGTCAAAGGGACCCCATAGAGACAGAACAGTGAAAAACAATAGGAAGCTAATATAAAAAATTAATCGTTTAAGATCCTGACAATTGGAGAAAGCAACATACAAATGCAAGCAGCTCACGAAATCTAAGTAGAATGAATATAAACATGGCAACAGATAAAAACAATGAAAATATGTGTCCCAGAATACTATCTAAAGACCTAAAAAATTACTCCTCAAGGAAAGGACAGCTCCTCTAAGATCATTAGAGGGTTTCTAAGCAGAAAAATATTGAGGAGAAAAAGGGCATGAAATAAAACATGGAACTGATAAGTGAATAAAAACCATCCAACAAGAATATTGACAGAACAGATGATAAACAATGGAGAGAAAACAACTTTTTCAGCTCCAAAACTTTCTCATTATTAGACCTGCCCTATAACACATCCGTAAGAAATATACTTCTGGATGCAATTTAAAAATTCTACACAACACTAACATGAACATATAAAGATGCCTTATATGTGGAAAAATATACAGAAATATAAAAATTTGTGTTTTATTAAAGAAGCATGTATCACTTTAATTTCTCTTGTGGAACTTTAGAAATTAAAAGGAATCGTCTGACTCAAGTAGCTCAGTAGTTAAGCGTCTATCTGTGAACCAGGAGGTCACAGGTTGATTCCTGGTCAGGGCACATACCTATGTTATGGGCTCTTTCACCAGTGTGGAGTGTGCAGGAGGCGGTCAATTAATGATTCTCTCTCACCATCTCTGTCTCCTCTAAAATAACAAAAAAATGTATTTTTAAAAAATAATAAAATCTTAAATCTCTTCTATAACACAAACAACATTAAAAATACTGTGATAGCCGAAATCAGTGTGGCTCAGTGGATGGAGCATTGGCCAGCGGACTCAAAGGTCCCAGGTTCAATTCTGGTCAAGGGCATGTACCTGGGTTGTGGGGACATCCCCAGTGGGGGGTGTGCAGGAGGCCGCTGATGGATGTTTCTCTCTCATCGATGTTTCTAACTATCTATCCCTCTCCTTTCCTCTCTGTAAAAAATCAATAAAATATATCCAAAAAAAAAAATACTGTGATATCAACTTATGTTGGTACATGGGTAGAAATCACAACCACCAGAGATTGTGTATGAAATTGACAGTATGGTTTAAGGTACACTGTTATAATATTAAGATATTTAAGTACTTTCAATGGTGGCAACAAAAAATAGAAAACAAATAATATATATACACTAATGGCCCCTTGAACAAAGATTCACACAATACACCTTCCTTCCCCTGGATGCCAGCACCGGTTTTTCTCTGGCACCCAGGACCCAGGCCTTCAGTCTGGCCGCATCAGCGAGGAGTGAATTCTCCGCTCCGGCTGCTCCCAGCCCCTGCTTTTTATCCACCCAGCTCCTCGAACAGAGGCCAGGGCTGGCTGGAAGCCTGGGTTGCCCCCGGCGACCGAGGCCCCCAGCCATTCCTTGAGTGGAGTCCTGGATCAGTGTGAAGCTTGGCTTCCTCCGTCACCAAGAGCAACGCAAGCCTCCTGCTCGCTCCAGCTCCAAGGTTGCCACCATCTTCAGTCCTTTTCAGTATTCGCTCCGTGCCTCCGTATGCAAATTAAACATAATCTTTGTTGGGTTAATTTGGATAGTCGCTCTAATTGGCTGCTGAGTATAGTGGAGTGGCGGAGTGATGGTTAATTTACATGCTTCTATTTTATTAGTGTAGTTATGTATATAGAGATATAGAGATGTATATATATTTAATTTCTCAAAACATGGTATATAAAACCAACCAATGAACTTAGCTCTGCTCGTACTAAAAGTAGATCAAGTTAAATAGGCCATGAACCAAAATGAACCCAGTATGCATTAAAAAATAAAATATCAGACCACCCTAGCTGGTTTGGTTCACTGGATAGAACGTTGGCCTGCAGACTGAGGAGTCCCAGGTTTGACTCCGGCCAAGGGCACATGCCTGAGTTGCGGGTTCAATCCCCCATAGTGGACCTTCTGGAGGCAGCCAATCAATGATTCTCATCATTGATGTTTCTTTCTCCCCTTCTCCCTTTCTCTCTAAAATCAATAAAGAAATATATGTGAAAAATTAATAAAAAAATAAATAAATAAAATATCAGCCTTAAAACCATGAAGAAACTGAAAGAAAGCATAGTCAATGAACTTTACCATCACTCTTAAAAATACTGGTTTGCATATATCTTCCTAGGCATAACAAAGAAGCTAAAAAATAAAGAAATGAGACTACAAAAGAGTAAGTTTGGCATACCAAAAGAAACCACAAAATAATAACCCAGGAATGTTACATCTTCAAAAGCTAAAGATCCAAAATATATAAGGCACTCACAAAAAAATGACAAGTATCACCAATGAAGTGGAGAAATGAGAACAATCATGCATTGTCAGCAAGATTATAAACACACTAGAAGCCCAGTGCACAAATTTGTGCACAGGTGAGGTTCCTCGGGCTGGCCGGCAATCAGAGCTGACTGGCCAGGAGGAAGGCCCGCAGAAGGTTGGCCGGCCAAGGCTGGTTGGCTATGGGAGCAGGCAGGCTCGAGGGAGGAATCACGAGAGGGTGACCAGCTCAGGGAGGTTGGCTGTGGAAGCACACTGACCACTGGGGTCAGTTCCTGCGTTGAGCGTCTGACCCCTGGTGGTCAGTGTGTCGTCATAGCAACCAGTGGACCAGGCATAACGGTCGCTTAGGCTTTGATATATGTAGATTCATGGAGCCACTCACAAAACACGATGGAGGGTTTTCCAATATTTACAGACAAGTACCAGTTAACACAGCGATTCCATTTCTGGGAATTTATACAGAGAACATGAATAAAAACAGATATACTCACCCATATATCCTTTGTAGCACTATTTGCAATAGTGAATATATCAGACTGGAAAAAAAGGACTATTTTTTTAATGATGGTCTACCATTTGAAATAAAAGATTTCATTTGATTTGACATGTAAGGCAACAAAATTTATAACTCATCTCCTTCAAGACGTGACTATGTGTTTATTCTCGAAATGACACTGTAGCTGCAAA